CCCTGTATAATTTTAGCTTGAAAATAATTTCACCAAATACACAAACATCAATCAGGGCTCTTTGTTTAGATTTGGCTAATCTCTTGTTGCCAGTATCCATTGGCTTCGATTGGTTTAAGCTTTCAGGGGAGTGTTGAAACCACTCATTAAGCTTCTTGATGACCTTGACATGTTATTATTTAAAACTGAGAGCCACGATGAACCTCACATTACCGTCTTTACTGTCTGTTCATCAAACTTGGGCTCCTGAGCATTATTTAACATGGCCAGGTGTGTAGTTACGAAGACATAGATTTGAGAAAATAACTCTTTTCAGCTTTCATTGTCAGACAAAAACTGAATCGAAACTAGAGATTATAATCCGCATGAGACAATGTGTCCCTCACATTCACAAGCCTTCTTCCACTCAATATATTCTCTATACAGAATAGATATACTATATATTTCTTTTAAAAATATAGTTTATATTAGCTAGCGGAATAATTTCCGTTCTGTTTCGTCTTAGTACATTTGTATTTCTCAAGTAACCTGCTTTAACACCAAACTAGAAAAAAATCTTTTAAAAATACGTTTGGAAATGCATGTGCATCTGTACACTTTGAATACACATGAGAACGTAAAAGTTTTAGATATATTTTTCAAGATTGAAAGTGCTTTTTTTTTTCTTAAATATCATTACATTTTCAGGAGTTGCAGTCGCTTTACAGTCTAAACAACATTATTTTGTCATACATATATATATCACTATATATTTTGGTTGCACCACATGACTTTTTTTAAATATTAATAATTTATTGTAATTTTAGGTTGTAATCTGTTATATAGCTTTAACAAAGCAAAATCTTTCCAAGTACCTCTGTAACCCGTTTAAGTACCCCTGTGCTAGAAAACATGGATAATTCTACACTAATGTTTATTTAATGATGTATTCTCATTTCTGGCCTGATTCAGGTGTGTTTGTCAGCGTGAGAGAATGTGTGCTAGAGCTGCCTGTCGTTAAATGATAAATGTCTTTTGGGGAGGTGTGTCCTCTCACTGCCTGCACCGGCCAGATCAGATGGCCGTAGCGATATAAGACCTCCAGCTTTCACGCCATGTCACTCACATGGCCCCACTTCCCTCGTACACACACACATACACAGTCACTCACAATGACAGGGCCGGAGGCGAGCCAGTGTTGGGATGACACACTTAATTTCGCACCCTTCTCTCTGGAGCGCCCAAGAACAATAAGGCCAGCGTGGGCAAACACCCAACCTTTTGTTAAGCGGCTGTCCGGTGCGGACTCATAGGAGACGGATCCTGTCCACCATACTGACTCTGTCCACACCCATGCCACAGTCCGCATTCATCTCCTGGTTAACCTCTCCTTTTGTTGTAGAAGAATGCAAGAAATGAGAAGAGCTGAAAGAAGAGGATAACACACTGATAAGAGCACATCGGCACATCTTTTAATGGAAGAGTGCACAGATTAGAGGCTTTTGTTTGTTCGTGAAGTTTATTTGTAATTGACGCTTACCCTGTTCCGGCTCTTTCCTTTCAGAAAAAATGAGAATATACATTTTCTGCCTTTGCTTTGTCTGTGTTATGTTGACTTGACAAAGCCAACATATACTGATCTACTATTTTCTCTAATGCTGCCTCTAAAATTTTTAAAATTAATGTGGCCTAAAGTGTTTAAGCTATGACCGCCCAACTTGGACTGATCGGAATTATGATTTTCACAAATCTGATGGAAAAAAAAAATCTGTTTAGCATAGGACGTGCTACCCTTACGAAAATTAACCATGGTTTTATTATAGTAAATGTGTAGTAACCACGTTTTTTGGCGTATTGATTACCATATGTATAACCACAGTTTTACTACAAATGCCATGGTTAAACTATGGTTAGTGTAGCAAAACCATGGTTATTTTGTAGTTTTTTTTTGTTTCATTTGTTGTAAAACCATGGTTAATTTTTGTAAAGGTCGTAAACATGTTAGTCATGCCAGCAAACATGTTAAAACATAATACCATACTAGTAAAACAAATTAGAAGCATGCTAGCAACATGTTAAAACCTGCTAGCAATGTACTAAACCATGCTAGTAATATGAAAAACATGTTAGCAACATGCTAAAACATGCTAGAAACATGCTAGAAACATTTTGACCTTTAAACAGGCTGTTTGTTAGCAATATGTTTAATCATGCTAGTGAAATGTTAAAGCATGCTAGCAACATGTTAAACATGCGGGAAATGTGTTAAACATGCTACCAACACACTAGGAAAATGCTAGCAGCGTGTTACATAATAACATAATAACAATGAGATTTTAGCAACATGCTAAAACATGGTGGATGACTGCTAGTTTTTTTTAGTCTTTTAAAGGTCTAATAGTTTTTATGTAGTTTTTTAGCAGTCTGAAGTAGTCTAATATGATTAGACAGTTTTTGGTCCGTCTGACAATTAAAACATTTTTTTGGGGCTTTGTCAAGCTTTTCTCATCTACTTATTTGTTTGTGCTCTTTAGTGTTGAGCTTTATTGGATGATTTAACCACTATATTATTGATGTTCCACTGAAGTCCACAGGTGCTGTAGTTATGTCTGTGTGAGATTTATTTTTTTGTTTTTTGACCCTGTTTGCAACATTACAAGACCTTCAAGTTGACAACCAGGGGAGGGTAAAATAGAGGCAAGCAGGGTATCACTCGCCTGGGCCTTAAATAATGAGCGATTACTCCCATCAGAGAAGTGACGTGGTGTTCAATTAGCCTCTCCTGCTGAATGATCGCTTGTCATCTTCCCGATGGATGTGCAAAATTAATATGCCTAGATCCAAAACAGGCGAGGCAGCTACCTGCCCAACACAACATGCCTGGAGAAGACCCCACACTTACACCGTCATTAAAAGATCATCTTCTTTTTTCTCTCTCAATCTGTCCATCCCTTTCTTTCTCTTTCTTTTCCCCTCTTTAATTTTTGCTCTTTTTTTTCCTGAGCCTCTCTCTCTCTCTCTCACACACACACACACACACACACACACACACACACACACACACACATATCTCAGTCTTAGTTAATGAAGTAATGGATATTCACCCTATGTGACAGATGGGCCGCTAGCGGCAGCACCCTTGTTAGGAAATTAAAAAGCTCGTCAACTTGTGTTTACCACTCAGCAGGAGAGGCCGTTGTTATTTCACCCAGGAAGCTCTCTTCTCTTGTCTTGAACTCTGGGTCTAGGGTGTACAGACGTGCAGACTGACCTAAGGGAACATCCTCCCACACGTATATCTCCATCACCCAGGGCCAGACTGATCTCAGAACAGTTACAGGCCTCATTACCTACAACCCAGCTGATCTTAGAACAAACATATACAGTATGTGTCACCCGAGGCCAGGCTGATTTCAGAACAGTTCCACAACATGAAATAAAATAATATAAAAATCATACTAGAGCACATGATCAAAAATATATGCCGTTTTTTTAATTTTTTTTTTATTTAGGTTTCTAAATAAAAAGTTTTACACTGTTGAGTCGAGAGGCTCTGAGGGGACACATGCCGTGTAACAGCAAAATATTGTTATTTGGTGCTCTTCAGTTTTTTTTTTTTTTTTGAAGTGGCTTTCCACAAAAATCAAGCGTAACTTTCAAGCATCTAATACACTACACTAAAAAAAAAAATCTGATTCTGTTCCAACCTTTGCAGAGTTTTTAGTCTTCTTTTGATAGTATTTAGTATTCTTAGGCTTACAAACTTTATTTTATTTTATTCCAAATCCCATTACATCCAACTCTGTGGTGTTAAAACCTCTTTTAATCATCACTAAATAAGACAATAGAAAATCATATTCATAGTATAATGTTAAAATATATGATTAAAATGACAAATATATTACTACATTTTGCCGTCGCAATGTAATGAAAGTCGTGACGATGCTTTTCTTCCTTTTCTTTTCGTTCTATTTTACATGCATCATGAGAAAGAAGTCTGGTGTTGACTTGTATGTGTGTGTGTGTGTGTGTGTGTGTGTGTGTGTGTTTATACATATATTTATTATTAAATGTTCTTTTTAAAATTTGTATTACATCCAAAAAAATTTACATTTCAATTTCTGATATGCTGTGAAAAAAAAAGTATTGTAAAGACTGACATTGACGAGGTGAAGTTTATTATTTACATGTTTTTAGCCTCAGCAAACTACATTTTCAAATGTACTTCACTGTCACTCCTTTCGGTACATCATTTCAGCCTGTTTTTTTTTTTTTCCTTCAGACTGTTTAGATACCAATTACCACATAATTAGGCCAGTTTAACAGTGTGTTACAGTTAGGGACCGTGGCATTTTTTATGAAAATTCAGGCTGTGGAGTGACTGAAAGAAAAACAAGAAGAGAAATAGGCAGCGAGTGACAGAAACTTGTCGGCTCTGGTGTTGCACGCTCCGTGGCAGCCAGAGCAAGAAATCTATTATTATCCGTCCTGACTGCGCGTTAATGTTTAACAAGTTCAGCGAAGTGACACGCCGCCGCAGCAGCGTAATTGCTAATCAGTGGACAGTTTTATTCCCTTCTTGCCTAATGAATTTGGCTGAAATGAGGTGTGGGCGGCCGGACCCTTAAACAGGCAGTCAGCCACCACTGATGTGTGTAGGAGAGGAAGGTTAGTGCTCGTGTCATAGTGCTAATGTGCTCTCTAACACTCCAAGGCGAATTTGCATGTGTAGCTCACAGTGCTTTTTTTTTTCTCACTCTCCTCAGAGTGTGCAAATAAACTGTCTGTCCACTTGAGTACAAAATAATTGAGTGTTTTGTTTGTAAGTGTGAAAATTGGGAGATACTTTATGAACCATGGACAGTTTTAACCCTCTTTCACACTATAAATCAATTTGTAAGTATTTTTCAGACCAGGATGCTATGATGTTCACAATAATTATTGTATGAGAGAAATGAATACTGTTAAAATTCAGTAATGAGAGTTTAACTTTGTATAACTTTTCTGTTTTTGTGTATCAGGGCATGTTGCTGAAAAGAAGCGGCAAGTCACTGAACAAAGAGTGGAAGAAGAAATACGTCACGCTTTGTGATAACGGAGTCCTCACGTATCATCCTAGTCTGCATGTGAGTACCAACACACACACACACACACACACACCGCCAGTACATGTGTATTGTATTTGCCTTTCTCTTCACCTTATTGGCCCTGCCCTGTTAATGTTGTTATTATTCTCAGTTCACCCGTCACGGTAACGGTGCAATTTTTTAATGTCCTTTTCACTGACGTTTAACGGATTATTGTGTCCGCCTCAGTAAGCATGGTGTCTGATGACACGATCTTGTCCTTAATTACCAGCTCATCTGTTTGCACGTGGCTGACGCTGTTGATGTGTAACATAACGCTGTAATGGCTTGTCATAATCACCAACTCGGACGACCTGTTTGCCCACACACCAATGGAAATGGCCGTCTTTTATTGGTTGTTTTCCCTCTGGATTTTTTTTGGGAGTGATAATCAGACCATATTGTTAGCGCTAACCAATCCCGAAGTGATTTGGCTAACACCGCATAGGAGATCACGAATGCAGATGAAAGATACTGAATAGAATTAATGGATGAAGAAATGGATAGCTAGTAGTCAGACCTTGCCCTTTGAACAAGAACAAGTTAGTTTTATGGTTTAAATAAACAAGGTAGAAACTTTGAACTATATTATTTTTCATGCTCTCTACAGTCAATTGTAGAAATTCACCACACAAAACACGTAGTAGTGAGGGTATGTAATCAGCTTTTTTTTGTTCGTTTACTGAATTTGAACTTTGACAGGTAAGAAGGTAAAATGATGTGTAAGATAAGCTCTGGCATTTAAAAAAATGTATATGAACAAAAACATAAAATAATACTTGAGGTCTATAATATTTTCCTACTCTTGAGACATTTCTAGAATACAGGATGCTAGAAGTGATTAGAAGTGAAGACAATAAACAACATAGAGATAGACTTGGAAACAAGAAATTCCAAGTGTACTTGATGTCTGGTGGAATAATTCAAGGGATATTTTTCATTGAATCAGGTGAGCAAATTCCAAGACCACAGTGTCTGTTCTCTTTTTCCCATTATGAAAGCAAAAATAGTTTATTTGATGTAAATGCCACATAAAAAATACAAGTGTTACAACTAAACTAAACTTTACTAAAAAATGAAAGGGTAACTTTTTAAGTTCATTATAGATTTTGACTTAAAATTGAAAATGTTTATTGAACCAAGTATGTATATAACCATCATCAGTCATCAATGATTTTAGTATAGGCCTTAATGAGCTTATTGGTATAGATTAGATATAGACCAATATAATAATAGTCTAAATTGTTGTTGTTGAGTTACTTATTAAAGGGATACTTTACCCAAAAATTAAAATGGTCATCATTGACATTTACATGTTGTTTCAAACCTGACTTTCATTCATCTTTGGAACACAAGTGAAAATATTTTCAATAATCTCTCATCATTCTTGTCTCATCATTGTTTTTTGTCCACCCAACCACTTGATAAAGCTTGAAAATGCTGATTAAATATACTTTCCAATGAATTTTAATTTTTTGGTAAACTATGTATATGTAATGTAATTTGTATTTAGATTTTTTTTTTTTTTTCTGAACCCATCACACGGTTAGATGCCTTCCTGACACATTGACCAATTTTAGTCCAGCCAGCTCATCTCAAGTAGATATAACTACAGACCAGAGATCTCCAAAATGGGCCGTGAACTCCAAAAGTAGGCAGAACCTCCAAAATGGGGCGGGGTCTCCTCGTGCAAATACTTTCACCATTGGCTCTGGCTCCAGCCAATTGTTATCGACTTACATTTCAAAATAAAACTTTATAAATGTAACATGGTTTCTAGTTCATCTAAAATAAAATATGCTATATAAGTAAATATTCTCCGTGAGAGCAGAGCCCAAAGCTCGTGGCCAGTGGTGTTCAAACTGGAGTTTGAACCTCTGCTTAATGATATAAACGGGAATCACCCACGAGCCATTTCGCGAGCCGTCCCAGCGCAGCGCAGGGGAAAGATTTCACTCTATCGCTTTGTTCTAAGCAACGGGGGCGTCCCGGGGCTCGAAATTCGCAGGGTAAGAGGGGGTAGTGACGCTGGGTGTAACTAAAAAGGTGCCATTGTTCGGTGAGGTCCAGTTGGGGAGTTATGGAACGATCTCATATCGCATAATCTTATTAACTGTTTATCTCCTGAACTGCAACTTTCTTTACCACGCTATTCAGCGCTAATCCCGCCGTGCAGTCAATTTCACTGGTTAAAGTTAGGGTCAGGTGTACGGTAGGTTTAAGAGTTAGCATTTTTTTGTAGCATAGTGTAGGAAATCAACACTTTAATTGACACAACCAATAAAATCTTTAGAATCAGCTGTGGGGCGGAGTTTGCACTGAAGTGGATTGGGGGAAAAAATTGTGCATGCGTGTCAAGTGCCTGTCTGTCAATGGGAGGAAGCCACGCCCTATTTTGGAGCTCCCGCCCCCATTTGGAGATCTCCGGGCTGCAGTTATACCCTTCTCGCTCATCTGGTTGAATTAGAGGAAGTGTGCGTCATCATATACGGTCCCCTCCTCCCTTTGGCTGTGAACAGGTTCCTCTCATCAGCAGGTGTCTGCTACACAGGCATCAATTAGAGTGTTTGCGGAGGCTAATAAGATGAAACTCAATCAAGGCTCTTAATTGCTCAACTATGTGAAAAAAAAAATCCCATTAATGCAGCTGATTAAGAGGATGGCAATAGATGCAACCTAATTAGTGAGGAAAAAACTCAAATAACTCATCCATGCACACATCCATTACAACCACGCCACAACTTTATGTAATCGTTTTTTGAGACACATAACTATTGTGTGTTGATTAAACTTGCACTGCTTTGTTAAACATTACGTGATTATGGTTTTAGCGCGGTGCGATTTGATAGATTCATCGATGTGGAGCATCAATTTTAAATGCACATCTGCCCCTGAAGTGGCCAGACGATGATCTTTTCATCAACTGTTCTCATTTGAGCACACAACTCCCTTAACTAAATCCCTCAAGTGGCTTGCTCGTCCTTTATTTTAAATCACGAGTTACATATGGACCAGTCCCCGGAGTGTATGTCCTACATGAAACGCAATAACATATGTTCTTCAATAGAGCAGCTTCGTGGAGTCTTTTGCCTTAATGAGCAGGGGCAAGGCTTTGAGAGCGAGAGCATACCACCCAGAACTGCCATACATCAGCTGAGTGCCAATCAAATAACACAAAGCCCTGAGAATCTCTGTGTATGTGTGCTGCACCGAGCAATTTACAGCAAGAGCATAACGTGTCCATCTCTCACTAGAGGCCAACAAAAGGGCAATTCAAAGCCAAGAGCTCTCAACACGGTTTAACAAGCCACAGGAGAGCCCTTCAGGAGTGGCGGGCCAACAGCTTGCGGCTGGTAATTGCATCCCTATTAGCATTGAGTAACTTTCATCATCAATGCAAGCAAAGCCACGCACAAATCCAGACAACGCAGTCAGAATCCAAACACATGCTGCGATGGCATGCTGTGATCCGCAGAAAAGGAAAAAGAAGCTCGGGGGAAGATTTTACATGTTCTAAAAGGCTGATTTTCTGCATACAAAGTGCACTTCATAATGAATATCAAATACATTAATATTGATTTCTTCACCTCCAGAGGGTGGGCAGAATTAACTGTGTGCTGACAAAATAAATTTAGTAGACACTTTTCATCCAAAGTGTCCACTGCTGTTGTATTAATCCTTTTGTCATTTTTACTAAAGGATTATATGCAGAATGTTCATGGGAAGGAGATCGACCTGCTGCGGACTACAGTGAAGGTTCCAGGGAAGAGGCCCCCCAGGGCCATCTCCACATGTGCGGCCCCCAGTCCCAAAACCAATGGGCTGACCAAGGACATGAGCAACCTGCAACTTGGACAGACACCAGGTAACGTGATCTGTCTTGTGATTTTTTGTGTTGTTTTGTTTTGTTGAATTTTGCTTTGTTTTGTATTAAATAAAATTGGATAATAATATAACAAAAATTTGATAATTATATGAATTAAGTAATGTATTTTTTATTTTATTTACAACAATAAAATATATACTGACCATCTATCACTGGAACATGATCATGCTTTTTCTTTTTATGATTTATTTTTTTGATGATTTTTACAATTATTTAATATAGTATAGTAATGTAACAAAATTAGATTACAATATAAATTATAAAATATATTTTGTATTTTTATTTGAAATATTTAAATACATACTGTCCATCCATCCAAGGTGTTCCCCTGCATATGGCTTGAGAAAATAGCCTTCAACATGTCTTTGACCATACATTAGACAAGTAGTTTGGAAAATGAATGGATAATAAAATGTATTTAATTCAGTATAAATTAAAATAATTAATTGTAATAGTTAATACATATTTAAAATAATACAAAACATTTCCTTACATTGTTTTATCAAGTGCTTTCCAAGAAAACAAATTACAAAAGTCTTAATGTCAATGTAATAGGACTAGGAAGCGGTCTTCATTAGTAGAGAATTAAACAATTAAGTTATTGTTTCGTTATTCGTGTAACACTCATTGGATCAACAATCCTTAAGCCCCCCAAGGAGTGTTAAAGACCCTTTTCAGGCACATACACACACACAAAGCACCAGGAGGACCAAACTAATAGCATGAATATTCAGTGACCCATAATACATGTACTAATTATTGTCATGAATATTAATGCAATCAGCGCTCGTTCTCCAGTCAGGCAAGTCCGAAATGAGCACTAATGAGAGGGAGAGAGAGAGAAGGAGGGAGGGAGGGAGGGAGGGAGCGGTAGAGAAGAAAAAATAGATAATTCACAGTGGTACGGCAGTCAAGCTTTTGTAAGTGAAGTATTTGACTGTAGGGCTGGGTCAGTGGCGTGATCACATGCACCTCTTTTTCCTTTGGTTTTAACATCTCATTTTTGCGAGAGCTCCAATTATGCACCGAATCCATTATAGCATATCTTCACACACTGCTGTTCTTTCGCTGTGTGCGTGTGTGTAGACCCTTTTCTGCCCCCATACATACATAGTGTTTATTTTCCTCCAGACGACCACTGATGTAAAAATGGAGTTTATCAGGGCTCTCCTGAAGTATGATCAGCTTTTGCCATTTACCCAAAGGTGCTGCCGTCTGATTTATCCGCTACAATGGAGATTAAATTGAGTCGTGACATTTCATTCAGTCGAGTTTGCAACGGGCCAGTGGAGGCCCGTGGGTACACCTTTTTGCAACAACAACATATTAAAAACCAGAAAATGAAGTATTTACTGAACCCTGTTTTTTATGTTTAAACTACATTGAGTATTTTGTGTGTGACTGTAGCTAGAGCCAACGGTATCATCAAATCAGCGTTATTTACATTTTGTTCACCGCTATTGGACAAACTGTTAGATTTGCTCTGTTTGTAAGCCCAGAAGCCTTATGGTTGATTGTGTTTGAGTCTGTATGTGTGCGTCATATCATATCCTCCCGCGTTCTTTTGTGCGCAGTTGTGGTGTAATCTTATTAGTGCGATTAGATATGGCTTCCTATGATGTCCACTTTAATTTCCACGTGAGTCAGACGAACCTCTCCCACAGTTTAATGATGACTCACGGTGGTGATAATAATTAACCTTCGAATAATCTGATGTCACTATTTATGCACTTTGACGACAACAAATCAAGAATTTTTGTGCATGAGTTGTAGTTACACTTATTATTATTATTATTATTATTATTATTATTATCATTAACAAGCATTAAAATTATTACAAAAATGACACCTGGAAGTAAAAAAATTAGGGATGCATTGATATAAAAATTTTGGTCAATATCAGTAAGCTGATAATCATAATCATAAAATTGCATACTGTCTTGTTTAAATAAATTAAATCACTAAAAAACAAAATTATTTGAAATGCTACAAATGATTAATGCATCACAACAAGTTTTTTGCTACATATTTTGCTACATATTACATTTAATGGGTTAGTTTACCCCAAAATGCAAAAAAATTATCATCATTTACTTTTCAAATCCATAAGATTTTCATCCATTTTCGGAATACAAATGCATTTTTTATGTTCTCTCATCCATTCATTGTAAGTCAAGGTAACCAAAATTTTAATCTTCAAAAAGTTCATAATGACATTATAAAAGTCTTCTGAAGAGACACAATCACTTTATATGATCACATTTAATTTAGGCTTTTATTGACACAATATACACAATTTAACATGACAGAAATAACCCCTTACTGAATTATTCATCAATTTTAAACATAAACTTTGATTATGATTACAAAGGTAATCTAAATGTAAAAATTGTGGAAATGACCATACAATATTAAATAACTGACCAATACTGCTAAAAACAAATTCTAATATTGGCTGATAACCAATATAGTGCCAATATATTTTACTTATTGTAAAAATATTTTTATAAACCATTATAAAAACTAGACTTTGCCAAAAAAAAAAACTACACTCTAAATGTACTCTAGAATACAAACAAAAACTATATGGCATTACAGATGACAAGAACAAATCAGAAAATGTTGTGCATTGGGTATATTATATGAATGGTGCATTAATTTTCATGCGTCTCTCTCGCAGGCTCTGTGACCAGTAGCTCTTCTGCATCTCAGATGGCGAGTGGCATCAGTCTGGTGTCGTTTAACAGTCGGCCAGATGGGATGCATCAGCGCTCATATTCTGTGTCCAGTGCTGACCAATGGAGTGATGCCACAGTCATCGCCAACTCAGGAATCAGCACGGGTAAGTGTTAGGACACATTCCCATGTGTAGCTCCTCGAACTGCTGTGGGGGGTTTGCTTGTACGCATGTCGTCGTCTTGAAGGTTTATCTTCAGAACTGAGAACAGATCCTTAAACAGTGATTTGTTATCCTATAGTTGTAAACACACACATACACCCACTCCACCTTTCATTGATCCTTGTGTCAAGCTCTAATGCTGCTTTAACTGTTTATCAAAGTAATGGCCACTCAGGAGAACCACATTACCAAAGGCTCATCTGTCGACGGCTAGCAGAAGAGAAATGTTTGGGGCATGATGTTTATCAGTCTGTCACCTTTCTGTTGTCAGAGAATTTCATACTTGGCTATTTTTTATTTAATCTTAAATCTCATGTCTAAACAGCCACAGGGGGGGAAATGGACATGCACACAGAGGTCACTATTGGACTGACAGCTGTCAGGCACAATGTTTTATGTGTGCTGATGAACTGCAGTGACATGGCGTGGCTAGTTTTAGGCCTGTCGTTTGACCCCTGCTTGTAGTTGACTCTGCGTTTACCCCTGATAACAATTAAAGCTGTGAAACACTTAAATGGGCTCCTGGCCGCGTCCGCAGCAGGACACTACTCGCACACAGCTGAGCCACAGACCCCACATGACTTCAACAGTACATCTTTTAAAATGTTAGGTTTTTTATTCTAATTCTTTTCCACAAAACAGTCATGTTTTGGTTTTTAATGCCCATTTACAATATTTTATGTCACCCTTAAACCTGTTTAACACAGCAGAGATAAACAAAGCTGCAGCATTCATGTTTTTCTCCTCCAAGAAAAGTGCCAGTTAAGCACAAACCCCACCTCAAAACTGATTCTAAAGATTTCATTAGTTATTTTAATCACGGTGCTGATTTCCTACACAGTGCTAAAACATATACTAACCACTAACCCTAAAATGAAAAAGTATCCTCAGCCTTAGTTTAGCATTGGTAGCAACTGGTTTAGAGGAAGAAAAAAGAGGGGTTTTTTCCTGCGTAACCAAACTGTGACTTTAATTTCTGGCCTACTTCATTTAGAATTTCCTTTAATAATGTCCATTAATGATGGAATTCATATTTAAAGTGAGCAACTGAGAACTGTTACAAAGTTGATCATTATTAAATCTAATTTACAAGATCAGACAGAGCACATTAAATTCCAAATCCACATGGAACTCACTAGTGTAGCTATAAACTGTTTAATAATCTGGATTCAGCTAGTGTTGGTAAGTAGAATGTGCTGTTTGTATAACTGTCACCTTGTGTGGAATAATTGCAAAAAAAAAAAAAAAAAATTGATGCATTGCTTTATAGTGCCTTGTCAACATTTTCTGAGCTCAGCATACTGCTTGCAGCAAAAAAAATATGTATGTAGTATCTAGTATGCAGAAAAAACACTACATTTACACATAATGAATGAATGACATTATATTTGTGAACAGTATACAAAACAATCTGTACTGAAATGTCACAGTTTTGGAAGAGTGTGCAGAGTAGTAGGTGAAAACTGGGGGGCGGGGGAATGTAAAGGTACATTTATATATAACAAAAACACCAAAATGTGTGATATAACACCAAAATTTGAGATATAGATATATATATATATATATATATATATATAATAAAAATTCAATAAAGATAAAAATGTTAGTGTTTGTTGACATATGCCCTCTCTTTAAAACAGTAAGCAGGGGAGTTGGTGGGAGAATCCATCAGTGGCCTCTGCTTCAGTGATATTCAGGGTGGTTGTCCGGACACTGCGGTGCTCCGGAGGGCTGTGTTATGAGGCTGTGTGAGTGCTTGTATGCTTCCCCCCCAGGAATCTCGTAAAAATAACCTTTCTGCTGCCCTAATGATGTGTCTGTCCACGGCCTGACTGGATCAGATCTGATGTCTGGATGACTGTAGTGCCGGACGCTGATTGCTTGTCACCTCTTGCCCCCAGGAGCTGATGGGAATGAGATCCTGTCTTTTTTCTGAGAGAAGTGAAGAGAGATAAGTGGTAGCAAAGTAATTAACTGACATTCCCCGCTTTGCGCTGTGAGAGAGAGACTGTTGACTAACCTCTAACGTTTTTCTAACGTCTCTAGCCAGGAAGTTACATTATTTTTTTCATATTAGCTGACTGCAATACTTTTTTCTTACTAATTTTGGGATTCTGTATTGAAAAATTCATAGAATCAGTTTCTCACAAAATATGTGCATTTTGCAGCATTTTGTAGGTGACGAAGTCTCGTGTTGTCATTTGTGTCTTAAGTCGCTGGGGTATATTTGTAGCAATAGCCAAAAATGCATTGTATGGGTCAAAATGACTGATTTTTCTTTTATGCCAAAAATCATTAGGACATTAAGTAAAGATCATGTACCACGAAGATATTTTGTAAATTTCCTACTGTAAATATATCACAACTTAACTTTTGATTAGTAATATGCATCGCTAAGAACTTCATTTGGACAACTTTAAAGGCGATTTTCTCAATATTTAGATTTTTTTTGCACCCTCAGATTCCAGATTTTCAAATAGTTGTATCTCGGCCAAATATTGTCCTATCCTAACAAACCATACATCAATGGCTAAGCTTATTTATTCAGCTTGGAGTTGGTGTATAAATCTCAATTTCAAAAAATTTACCCTACGACCTTCACATTTAATCACCAGAAACTGCCACAAAGACATGATTCCTGTCTTCCTCTGAGCCAGTTACCACTATTTGTTAAATTCTCAGCTGGTTTTCACATGTATGAATTATTTCTAATGAAATTATTTTATGTTTAATTATGCATAAAATAATGAATTATGACCAGTGACAGAAGAAAATGCAAACATGACCCAGATGTTTTCTGCTACATCTGTGGGTGTTTTACTACTTTTCATCCAAAGGGTGACGCAAAATTACAGATTTTTTTTGACAGAATGTGTTAATGGAAAGTTGTTTGATATTAAATAGAGTATTTGAACATATTTCTCCACTCCTTTGCAGATTGTAAGTTAAATTATGCATTTTGAATACTACTTATCATCATTCAAATTAAACATTTAACATTTGACTGCTTTTGATATTTTCGCAAGTACATTAAAGATAAGAAGATTTTTCGAATTATATATTTTTTAATGATATATTTCTAAGTTATATATCTAAAAAAATTGTACATGATGGAAAGTTTTTATTAATTTTGTTGAACGTACAATCCAAAACATTTTTGATGCTTGCAAATCAGCAGGAATTTTTTTTTTTTTTGTGGTCTAAAAGTAAGCTTGCTAATTAATTTCCCACAATGCAATTCTTGTGACTAAACACATACTGACAACCTTGTGCTTTTTACACAAAATAAACTGAGCTGGTTTGAACTGAGATCATTTAAAACTACAGATGCCTTTAAAGTGTAATTGTAAGAGGGTCAAAGTTGAAAAGAGCTACAGTGGTTGACACTTGGCTGTGTGCCGTCTGAATGAGTTGGATCACATCAGAGCAGACTCGTCCTGACTGGACATGGCTGTCATTTGAGAAACACAGCCTCAGTAATGAGCTCTTTTATTCCAGAGGAAACAAAGCCAAGTCCATTTAAAGGAGATAAGATCCCCTCCAGTGATCGGGCTCTCTGTGTCTTTTTGTCTCACTCCATGTTGTCTTGAGGGCATGGGAAAGGCAGTGACATCCCTGTCTCTTTACCTGGAGCATCCTTAGCTCCAAGCAGACAGTTGCACATAAAAATATCCCCTCTGTCCCTCCCTCTGTGGCTATTCTTGATCCTCCCTCTCTTTCGCTTAATAATGAGAGACAAGCAGCAGCAGAAGTAATGAGTGTCTCTTTGATTACCACTGCTGTGTTTAGGTGCTCTGGGGTACATGCTTTTAGTTCGACCCGCCTTAAGATAAGTTCCTGGCCGCACTGATGTCATGTCACCCAACTTGTTGATTAATGCTCTTGTTTTTTTGTTTTGTTTTGTTTTACATAGGGATGTCTCTTCATCCTTCTGTCGTTTCCAAGCTAGTAATGGCCCACATAGCTAGATATGTACTCTTTGTATTCATGTTGCATTCATAGTTTTGAAAAACTTGCATATTATTTTCAGCGGGTTTACACTGCTGTTCAAAAGGGGTTGGTAATGGTGTTTTTGTTTTTTCTTTTCTTTTTTTGAATGTTTTTGAAAGAAGACTCTTATACACACCAAGACAAATTATGGTTACATATGTTAATATATTTTAAAATGTAATGATTTTCAGCAGCCAGTCTTCAGTGTCACATGATTTTTCAGAAATCATGCGAAAATGCCTATTTGGTGCTCAAGGATTTTTTTTAATAAATAGAATGTTTAAAAGAACAGCCCTTATTTGAAATAGAAATCTTTTCTAACATTAAAAATGTCTTTACTGTCACTTTTCATGTATTTAATACATCCTTGCAGAATAAAAGTAAATTAATTAATTAAATAAAATCTTTCTGAATGCAAACTTTTTGAACTGTAGTGTACATTAAATGAAAAATGTCATGTGGCGTAACCAATTAAAATGTAATATATATATATATATATCTTTTCATTTAATTCATGAATACATGTGAGTGTATGCAATTTAATAATTATTTAAAAAAATTATTTAAAATATATTTAAGGTGCAAAATAATATGAATTATTTTTAAATTTTTAATTGTATCAGGGAGGTTGTTATCACCCTGACGTTTTTTCCCCCTGAAAAAAAATATTAACATGAATTTTAATTCTGAAATTTAAAACACACTCATCAGAGATCAGGTCTATTCAAGTCATTGTTTGTATAAATTGCACTTTTAATATATCTTTACATAAATAATAGGTCTGGACCAAAAAAAAAAAATAGTTTCATGTCATTGATCCTAAAAACACAGTTTTTTTTACAATGACCTGGCAACCACCCACAAGAATCACTCGCTAGTTTGTTTTAGTTTGTATCATTCTCCATAAAGGATGACAGACATTTAGCCTTTGCCTTGAAGTGGATTATTCCATGATAATGTATGTGTTGTGTTGCTCCTTCTCTCTTCCGAAGTAACTGGATATTCTTTAAAACAAAACCTAAAAGCAAACTGGCTGTGACTGAATGTCTGCCAGAATTATAGCAGACGAATTAATGACTTTTTGAGAAAGCATTGAGCTTGAGAAGACAAGGATGGAGAATATGAGGGAGAGGGAAAAGTGTATTTGACGTTGAGGTGTGTGTGAGAGGGAGAGCTCGGACAAAGGGGCTGTTAGAACGAGGTGGTTAATTGTTCACTTTGGGATGCCATCTTGTCAGCAGAGATAAGTTGTCACGTTTTCCACTTGAGCTGAGACTAGACGATTGTAAAATAAGTTACGGCCGTCCTTGGGGCTGTCTGCTGATGCGCGGCGCTGGGAGCATGCTCAGTGCCAGCCTGAACACCCCCCCACCCCCTCCCCACATCAGCGCTTTCACTCCGCCTGATATTGATGTGAACTGAATGTTATTTTATTCTGCCGCTAGTCACAGCTGTCAGTGCCGCTTATGAAAAGTGAAGCAGCCTTCTGATAGCCTGAGCCGGAGAATCCAGCCAAACGCCAGTCAGAACTGGCCTCACACGAACGCGAGCGCTCTATCATTTAAACCAGAGCAGACACCACAGAATATTCAATATGCATGTGGTAAAATAGAGCTGAATGTTTACATCAATCTCTCTCTTTGTGTCCAGATACCGGTCTGGGAGATTCTGTGTGCTCCAGTCCAAGCATATCCAGTACCGCCAGTCCTAAGATGGACCCGCCTCCATCGCCTCACGCCAACCGCAAAAAACACAGGAGGAAGAAGAGCACCAGCAACTTCAAGGTGGACGGCTTCTCTGGAAATGCAGAAGGTAATTCCTGTCTCTGTCCCACTCCATCTGTAGTCTTCTCTTCCTCTCAGATCTGGTCAGACCTCTGCTGATCGTCCCTTGGTCTATAAATTCAGCCATGTTCCTAAGAACCACTGTAATGCATTGATTCTTAAACAATCATTAACATTCTCTCATATCTAAATGCAAATGTTATATGATGTTTCACAGGGTGAGTAATATGTGGGTGAGTGTGAAAAGCTATTGCAGAAAAGTCCACTCAGAAGAATTGTACATTTAAAACCTGTTTAAACCTGGAAACAAATAGAAAATTCAATGGTGCTGCATTTCTAGGTCACTAATCAAATTAGTATTCATATGATGCCAATATTTCAATAGTCAGTACTAATACCTGAAAACTTTAATGAGCAAAAATTAATGTAATTTGCTATAGAGTGGGGGAACTATGATGTCAGAACCCAGAAGAGTAATTCGCCGTGGGTTCCTTCGAGATTTTCCTATGGGGTTTTATAATGGGGTTTTTCAATTTATGAGTAAAATAAAGCCTGTGGTAAACATAACTTGATGATACTTCTACGTTTTGTTCTACAATGTAAACTGCACACACTCGCAGCACAAACGTTCTTATCTAGTTACTTATTAAAAACATACGTTTTCAAAAATGAACATAACTGCTTCAAAATGTTTGTTTTGGGTATGGATGTGTGTAATTTACGTTGTAGAACAAAACGTAGAAGTATCGTCAAGTTATGTTTACCACAGGCTTTATTTTTCTCATAAATTGAAAAACCCCATAGGAAAATCTCTATTACACACTCCATTTGACTATTTAACTTGTGTAGGTATTTGAACGTTAATCATTATAAAAATATAATTAAATGAAATAATACATTAAATTTAAATATATTTACTTCAAAAAGACAAAAAGTCAGTGATTTAAAAAAATGCAATAGAACAGCGTTTTTGACATTTTTCAGTAGAGGTATTATTAAAGCTGCTAAAGTTCTTCAGACAAGAAAAGTGACTGTTTTTATCTTGTCAAAATTGCTGTCTACTACACTTTATTTATACTGCAGAATTTATTTTATATAATTTATGAACAAATTATTAAATTAGAAAAATGAAGAACAGCAGACATTTTGAATAGTGTTACAGTATATATGGGCCATTCTACAGAATTGGTGCAAACTGCTGTCCCACAACCAAAAAAACAATTTAAAAAGCATTTAAGTAATTAAATCTTCGATGTTTATTAAGGTATTTCTAATATCTATTGAAACCCACAATAATCATTAAAATATTAGTAAGCTTAATATATATAAAATCATCATTTATTGGGTACTTTCAGTTGGGAGGTGGCTGTCTCAAACCCTAACCCCTAAATTTCAACTTACTGTATGAAAATGATATTGAAATAATATTTTTGTATTTTTTTCCATTGTTGTTTTTAAAAGTATCTTTTTGATTCAACTTCACTGCATTTTTCATGTCACTCCCTGAAACAGTGTTTTAGTCCATTGGCTGAGACTGATTTTAACCACACCCATAAATTTATGATCCGCAAATATTCCAGTGTCCCTCTCTCTCATAGCTACAAGGTGTGAGTAGATAGGCCTCAGAATTTTGAGGTAAATGTGTTCAAAAGTCTGAAAAATCTGAAAAATTCACTACCGAACACCTTTTTTTTTTTTTTTTTAATTAAGCACACTTTTTGGGAGTTATTCCATAACATTTAGTTTTTATATGTATACCACTGTTCAGAACTGTGCTAGCTAACCATGTGCTGATTAGCATCTTTGAGCTAGGTTCAAAAAGATCTAAAATTGTCACTACCGAAACATTTGGTGGCGTTTCAGTAGTGACATTTTTCATACATTTTTTTGGCTGTTGTCCCATAGAATTATCACTACCGAAACAGTCACTACCAAAACATGTCATCATTGTTTCGGTAGTGTCAAAAGGGAACACATAATCCTCATATTTGGAGGAAATAAACAAAATTTTAGTACAGTTTTGCAATTTTTTTTGTATTTTAGTATGTTTTAGTAGTGTTTTAGTATGCGAGTTAAAATTCTGTAATGTGATGTGGTTGCTACCAAAGCATTACTGTAACTACCGAAAATATGCTGTCATTACCGAAACATGGGATGTTTTGTCAGAAATAAAAGTATGCTGAATTATCAGCTAAGATGTTATGATAGTTTTTGGTTCAATGTATATTCAAACTAATGAATCCTTAACTTTGAAATCAGTATGATTAACTTTTTGCCTTTTACAAAGAAAAAATTGATTCAAAATACAACAAATCTAATAAATTACACTTGAAATATTGTTAAAATTGTAATTGTTATTGATTTACCTCTGAAATTTTTTTTATAAAATGGCAAAAAAATATATTTACAATCTAGATGTAAGCAAAATCTTAATAGGTCAATATAACCCTTCTAATTGAATTCTTATTACTGTGTTTCGGTAGTGACAAATTTGGGGAAAACTTTCTGAAAATGCAATATGAGAATTAACTGCACAATTACTAGAAATGTGTACCTTGGATATTATACAATTTGCATACATACAAATTTTTTGGGAAAATATATTTTTTTTCAAGACGTTTCCAACTCTGACTTTGGACCAGTTCTGTAGAATGGCCCATATACATTCACTGTACATTTGATTATAATCAAAGAAGCCTTCCCATATTCCAGCATGTATACTAACACCGTAAGCTGCATACACTGCTGCTGTCACACACACACACACACACACACATAAACGCAAGCGAGCACACACCGTCATGCAGTGAAGTTGTGTCTGCTGTGACGGTGCAGTGGAACAGATGTTTCTGAGCAGCAGATGTGTAATATGTTTCCTGCTGTCAGTATGGATCAGGCAGCTGACAGGCCTGCGTGGAGCAAGAGAAATATGCTGAGTGATTATTACACACTCACACAGACAAGCCAGTTAAACGCCGTTTGTCACTCACACACGCACAGACTCCACTCATCACTGCAGCCACCATTCTGACACAATGGATAGGTATTTGTATTTATTTTATTATCCGGCCTCAGTAACACACTACCGTTCAAAAGTTTGGTGTCGGTATGTTTTTGTGTTTTTTTTAATTAACCTTTATTCAGCAAGGGTGCATTCAATTAATAAATGAGTTAAAAGTGACGCTAAAGACTTTTACATTGTTGCAAAAAAATCAGCATATTAGAATGAATTCTGAAGGATCATGTGACACTTATGACTGGAGTAATGATGCTGAAAATTCAGCTTTGCCATCTTTGAAATAAATAAAACTTTAGAATGTATTAAAATAGAAAACTGTTATTTTAAGCTGTAATAATATTTCAATATTTATCAAAAGTGTCCAGTAACAAACTTGTATTATTCTTTGAAAAATGTGGATAAACAAATGGACCTAAACATTTATTTATTTAGCAACTTTAAAAAAAAATCTTGAATGAGGAATACGTAATATTTAGGATTTCATGGATATGCCTTGCTACATTTTTACAATTTCGTGTATGCATTTATACCAAACAGTAGCACTTGGTGTAAATGGGTTTACAGTAAGTAGTTCATAACCTCTTGACAGTGTGAGAATACAGTTCTAAAGTGTTGTAAGGTCGTCTGTGTATGTTTGTGTGAGAGAGGAATGATGTAGGAATGATGGATGAGTGTGTGTCAGCTCAGAGAGTGTGTGATTAATTAGACTGCGCTTGTGTGGGTGGCCACAGCCTCTTGAGAGCTGAGGATCAATGCTTGTTTAAAATGTTCCCAATCACCCTTATTGATCCTCTCCCAAAGGGGGCCAATATATTGTCAGTGAGGGAAGAGTATGTATGAATGTATGTATACACATCAGTGTGTTACATTCAGTGTGTATCCGAATGAAATTTAATCAGCATATTTCAAGCAGTTTTAAATACCATACATTTATGCATTCAGTGGTTCTCATCTAGGGGGTTGTGACCCAAAAAATGGGTCACAGATCTGTTACCGGACAGAACAGAAAAACAATGCCAAGGAGATCTCTGTAACTCATGTAAGATTGACAAAATGAATCATGTATAAGCAGTGGCTTTGACTGAATACACATAGGAAAATGTTTTCTCTTACAATGCATAGATAAGATAGTAAAATATATAGGTGTCAGGCAGCATTTTGGTTCAGATTCTGGTCACTTGGTAGAAGCAAGTCAAATAAGACAAAAACAAACACAGGTTCCATGACAGTTTCAAACTATGCAAAATAAGATAAAGCAAAGCCAAGACTAAGCTTGCACTATACACACACTGCAATGTTTTGTGTACTAAATTTTATAATATAAATTATATTTTAGCATTAAAAAATTATTGTATAGCATATACTACCTTTTGGGATCAGAAATTTTTTTTTCAAGAAATTAATACTTTTATTCAGCAAGAATGCATGAAATTCATCAAAAGTGACAGTAAAGACATTTATAGTGTTACTAAAGATTTCTATTAAAAAAAAAGCATTTCATTCATCAATGAATCCTAAAAAAAATGTGTATCCCCGTTTCCACAAAAACATTAAGCAACAGGATCATGTGACACTTGGGACTGGAGGAAAATGCTGAAAAATTCAGCTTTACCATTACAGGAATAAATTACACTTCAAAATATACTAACATAGAAAACAGCTATTTTAAATTATAATAATATTTCATAACTGTTTTTACTGTATTTTTCCTCAAATAAGTGTAGCCTAGGTGAGCATAAGAGACTTCCATTAAAAAAAAAATTTACCAACCCCAAACTTTTGAATGGTAGTGTATGTTAAAATGCACAATAATTTTGCTAGTTAATTTTCATAGTAACACGATGTTTGATTTTATAGCATTTTTTACTTTCTTTCTATGTTGGATTGCCATTTGATGTTCAGTGTAAAATCTGGGAATTGTAGCAAAACCAATTGAGAACCACTGATCTGATGCACCATCTCTATCATGACGTTAGCATTTGAGAGTTTTGAGAGACCATCTGTTCCAC